CTCAATCAGTGGAGGGTCCACTGTTCCTTCTGTAACGAGGCCTTCAAGCAGCGAAAGGCTCCAGGCCCTCTGGGTCCAGAGACCGGCGTTCCGCTGCAGGTTCACTACAGCTGGACGTTTCTTCCGTGGCATCGGATCTATCTGTACTACCACGAGAGAATTCTCGCCAGTTTGATCAATGATCCCACCTTCGCCCTCCCCTTCTGGAACTGGGACAACCAGTTGGACCAGGACGCAGCTATGATGCCGGCCATGTTCTTTCCCAACTTCGGCGTTCAAAACTCTGCCGTCTTCGACCAGTTCAGAAATCCCAACCACTTGCCTCCCAAGATCTTGTATCTGGGATACAACTCCAAGCTCGAAGCAGAGGGCCAACAGAATCTGACCGACAAGCAAATCAGATACGAGAATTTGTGCGTCATGTACAACCAGGTGACCACGAAAATCAGCGCTCGAGATTTTCTCGGAGGTCCTTACGTTGTCGGGACTGATAACTCTGCGGCGACTGTCAACGTCAGCGCGGGTGAAGTTCCCGGAGAGTCTGGTGGGATGGAATCTGTCCACAATGTGGCTCACGAGTGGACCGGGCTCATCAATGACCCTGAACATCCCGACAACGAGGACATGGGCAATTTCATCTACGCCGCCCGGGATCCCATCTTCTACTCTCATCACTCGAACGTCGATCGTCTGTGGGACGTGTGGAAAACCATCCCCGACAAGGTCACGAGATCCGGTAACAGGAAGAGAATGGACTATACGTCCAGGGATTTTCTCGACAGCGAGTTCACTTTCTTCGACGAGAATCAGGACATGGTGATCGTCAAGATCAGGGACAGCCTTGATAGCTCCAAGCTCGGGTACAAGTTCACTGACGTGAGTGAATCTGACAACATGTGGATATACTATGAGCCCATGCCTGCGCAGGAGTCCTCCAGCAATTCCAGTGAGTATCCTGCAGCGGCTCCATCCGGATACAACTACATCGGCACGGATCCTGTTAGCTTTAGACTGGATCGTCGAGCTCCAACGAGCGAAGATGCTCGAGAGAAGGGAGTGAAGAATGTGGATCAGTTGCAGGAGGACGTGGTTCTGGAGAGGGTGAAGATCCCACATTTACAATACGCCAGATTTGACGTGTTCATCAATTATCCGGCAGCTAACAGGCAGACGCGTTTGTACATGTCGGAGTACGTGGGTACTTTCACGCATTTGCCGAGCGGCATGGTGGACATGAGCAGATCTGTGTCTGAATCGTCAAGCGAATCGGAGGACAATTTCCGGATTGTGACTATCCGGTACTCCGTCAATGCGGCGCTGAAACGACTGGGCATCACAGATTACAACGCGGACATCGTAGTGACCATAGTCTCTAAGGGCGCGAGGAACAGCAGCCCGAAGACCGGATTTACGTTCTCCAACCTCATTCAAGACTTCCAGTAACTGTGAAGAGCAGCCGCGTTCGAGTTTTACCCTGTGGTCAGAGGTGGCCAAATAGTTTCTACAACATTCTTTCTTCACAATTGAACGAATTTAATTAGTTTACACCTGTAAGATTGAACTCAGAAGCATCTCATGCTTAGGATTTAACTCCATAGTCTTTCCAAGTTATTACTTGGAGGGAACAAACTGTCACCCAGAACGTCCCACAATTGAACCCAATCGGCATACTCAGTGACATCTTCGCAATTGGATTAGGTTAGACTATTCTGACTGAAGAAACATACATTTTTGCATATTGAGCAATAAATATTGCGGGGATTATCACACTCCAGTGTTCAAGTATCTGCCTCATTGAATGTCGTTCTATCATTGGGACGAAGAATCATGAAGATAATATATTTTCTCAAAGTAATATGCTATTATTAGGATTTCAAGTTAAGGGAGCGGACGCTGGATTCCTGACTTATGCTGAAGTGATTCGTGTTTAAAATAGAGTTCTGGACTAGGTATTTAGAAATCAGTTTTTTTTCTTACGGGAACCAGGTTTTTCAGGTTGTCGATATTTAACGTTACAAAGGAATGATAGGAGTGTTTTACGATATATAGGAGAGTTTTTCTGTCCGTTTGTATGAAATCATTAAAGATTTCCATAACATGTGAAAATTCACATTACACATATTATAACACATGTAATTGACAAGAGATAAAATATGTATAACACCAGCTATGTGTTTAGTTCACAGGTATTAGTATGAAAGTTATGAGTGTAAAATAAAACTAGTGGTACGAAAAAAAACTAAACACATGATACATATCTAACTGTAAAATCAGCTTGATTCCCAACGGCATTGACATTATTTCCACTTCCCATTGACCTCTAGTTAGTCTCTTGCATGCTATCTTCATCTCGTGACGGTAAATCTATATCAGGTGCCACTAGCAGGGGGTAAAATTTTATCTCACAAAGATATTTTACATAGCAAGAGAGTCAAAATTTTGTGATTCATGTCAAATGATAGTAGAACTACCTTGAAATGCCACCAATTATACTTGCAGTAAGAGGAATTTCAAACATTAGACAAGTTATCATCTTTAACAAGAATCACATATAAACCATCCAACTTTTCATCTATTTCAAACTTGATCACACTACTACATTACATCATCCAACATTTCCAATACCAAAACTTTCACATATACACAAAACCGTGCCACTTGGAGTAATATCCAAGAGCTATCATCAACATTGCAAATGCAACGTTTGACGTGCATTTGCAATGTTGATATTAACAGAGTTGAAGGTTATCCACTTAGTACCTAAAAGTATAAAAAAGTGAGGAAGATGTTTTTTGCGAACAATTTTAATCAAAGATAATTTAAATCTTCACAAAAGTTTAGAATCTTGTACATACACTTATTTTTCTAGTTTTAATCATATTGGAAAAAGAAAAATTTCCAAAAACTATCGGTTTTCCAAAAAACTTTTAAATAGTCTCTATATGGGTCATTCTCTTACATGGTATTTCTGCAGTTGATAATGATTTTCGAATGATGTTTTATAATGTATTTCATTTCAAACTTGGATGTTTGTTTCAAGAACTAAATTTTTTCGGTTGTAAGATCGAGCAAACATGAAAAATATCAGGGTAAAAATATGAAAATGTTCCATCAATATACAATACAAAATACTTTCGTCTCAATCAGTTAATACAAAACCATAAAGCATAGAACAACATGATATAATTTTTTGGTAAGAAAAAAGTGGAGACAGAAAGCATGTTTTTGAATGAACTTTTTAAAATCTATTTACAAAGTTATCTTGTAGGCTACGATAACACCCAATTAGCTTCACTAATTCAGATCCAATGTAAAATAGAAAGATTCCACGAGCACTATCATATAATAATAATAATCGCTAACTATATAGGTGATTTAATTATTCTAGCAACTTAACTAGATTGAACCAAAAAAGTCCAAGAGAAGTTATTTGAACTTTTGGAACGTTTAAACCATCAAAATAGACTATAATCTTTGTAAGTTTTTATACGAAAAATTATCGGAATGGTCCATATGGACAGACTTTAAAAAAGATAGCATAACAATCCAGATTAGGTCATAATCTTTATTGATGTAATACACATTGAATTCACATTTCAGTAAACATAACTTGGTTCAGGTACCGAAAAGCCACTCACTCACATATCTTATGCTATTGTAGGCTTCTAACTAAGTGTGAGAAAATTAGACAATTTCACTGCAGAATAGTTTTGTGTTTAGAGTAGTCTTTTGAACTCTGGTTTAAGGTCAGTGTGCCCTGGACTATCCTGGACCTGCGATCAGGCTTCGAGAAGTTTATGATCGTGTTTTGTTTTCAACTTCGATCGTAGAAATAGAAACCTGTGGATCTGATAGGTAGTCAGGGCATGTGACTGAAGCTGATGCAAGAGGAGGAGACTCTCACCGAGCATGCTGGAGTGTTGTTTTGAGCTGGACTTCTTCCGCCTGTTAGAAGTAGGTCGCCTCGAGTTGTTGTAATGAACAATGTTGTAAATGATACATCCGGATTCTAATCTATCGAAATGTTCTCACGCATTGGCTGGAATATTTATTGATGCGTTTTTGTCATTCATTTCTGGCACTTCAGTTTGAGAAATTGGTATAGAGAGGTTTGATCATTTCTCTCCACCCGAGAAACATGCTTGGTTTATAAAATTTCAAATAAACAGATGTGCATTCTGATAGCAATCACAGTAACCAGTCCTGTCTTGTTTTACAAGCTGCGTGGAGAACTTGATCTTGCACTCTGTAGCTGCAAATAAAATCTCAGCCAGAGTTCCCAGCTGAATGTGTCACATTTACAAATTCTGAGTTGATCTGTCTTGCCCTGTAACAGAAGTTAAAGGCTTCAAACTCCCGTTTGACTTCAGTCACATCTTTCCAACAAATTTTATTCTTGAACATTTATATTTCTCACTTCAGTTCTCTGTACACTCTCTGTACATTTTTATGCAGCATGTTTTTTACGATACATAATTTTATTGTTGTCTTCTCCTCCCACAAATCAGAGTGGCGCAGCGGAAGCGTGGTGGGCCCATAACCCACAGGTCCGAGGATCGAAACCTCGCTCTGATAATTCAGCGCACAAGCTTCCCTACTTTTATTTCGCCGAGAGTTCTCTTCGCTACGGATTCTCAAAGCTTAACATGCAGACTATGTTTTGCTTTACCACGTAGGCAAATGATAGTGCAAGGATTAAAGCATAAAGGATGAGCCGACCCCATCAAGTTGCGACAAGGACTATACTCAAGTCTCAACACAATAACGCACTGCAGAATAGACAGAAAATTATAAATCACACTAATATTTTTATAAACATAGCTTGTGGATCAACAGGATTTCAAGCAAAAAGAAGTGCTGTAACGAATTAGCTTGAATATACATGTGCACAAAAGCGCATGACTGTGGGAACTTCCCAGTCTGTAGGACAGAAGGGCTTGTCACAATATGTCCAGTGTCTTCAGCTATGTATTGTACTGTCCATTTAACGCCGCATTCAGTCAGCAACTGGTGGTAATAAACTGTCCTGGCACACACACTCCTGGCTTGGCAGCCTCCAGAGTCGGGGGCTCGTTGTAAGGTCTATGCGATTTAAGGGCTCCAACTGTTGCTATGTCTTGATTGAAGGCAATAGCAGCTGCACGCTCAGGTAATTGCAAAACCGCTCCAGCAGAGTCCTGAGGAAGAAGGAATAGTTACGAGCCGATGATAAAAAATATGTAATCCTGTTGTTGGACACAATGCAGTATATGTGGACGTGGATAATGAAAATTACAAAAACTGAAAACTGAAATTGGAAACTACTACTGTTCTTTACGTATCATAATAAAAATTGGAGAAAGTTGGAATAGCAACATATCATACAATAGAAGGAGATTTACCAGAGTGCCAGGATTTTGGCTATTCAGAGCAGAAAGGTAGAAAGCTGTTTCTGTACCAACATTCAACTCAAAATGTAACATTCCGCGAGGAAACACGATGAGATCTCCTGGGTACAGAATATGAATATGAGCTTGTCCTGCAGTCCAATCGTCGAAAAACAAAATGGTAGGAATTAGACCGCCGTTTTCTTCAAATGTATATAAGTCACACTCGAAGGGAAAGTGCAATGATGATATGCATGAGCTTCATAACATCTCAACCTTTGGTATCAACGAAACCAGCCTGGAGCGGACCACCGCTTATCAATGAAAGGAGCTCCGTAGCACGTGGGTGGGTGTGCGGTAAGTTCTCTCCACATGGAACCATTTTGAACTGAACAACGGTGAGACCCTGCGACCTGCAAAAGCACGAAAGAGAAAAGAAAAGTTTATGTTAAGCTAACCATGTACTGTCCACTTTGAATAATATGCACGATCATGTGGATTACAAACAGCAGGGAAAAAACTTTGCTTTATGAAGTGACGTACGTAAGGCCTGGGAATTTTCCGATGTCAAGAGCTGCTCGAACGCCTCCAGATCCAGTAGTTACATCTCCATTGACAAAGATGTTGCGGAATACTGGTGTGGTTGCGTTTGCTGAGAAGTCGACCAGAGGATCGGGATCGGCAGCTTCAACTCTCTCCACCATCACTAGGCATGTGCTGTACATGAATGCAATCATTTTCATGCCGTGTACCATCCTGGACTTGCGATCAGCCCTCGAGAAGTTCATGATGGCTTCCTGTTTTCAACTTCAATGATCAAATTAGAGATCTGTGGATCAAATTGGTAGTAAGTACCTGTGACGAAAAGTGATACAGGAGGAGGAACTTCTCACTGAGGCTGATGGAGTTTCATTTTAGCCGGACTTTATACATCTGGCTGAGGTGTGTCAACTGGAATTCAATACTTAGCAATGTCATAAATCTGGATTCTAAAATTCTGAGATGCTCTCACGATTAGCTTGTGAACTGCAGCGTTGTTATATTTCATCTCTGGGTAACGCTACATCTTTAAACATGATCCAATCCAGAACTGTTGATATCACTTTTCTATGAGAATTGAGAAGGTTTCATCTGTTCTTCTGTATATGAGGTCTTCTTCGGAACAATAAAAAGAAAGTAGGGTGAGTATGGTCCTTGCCTTCGAATCAGATGATCATGTGGAGCCACACCCTGCAGTCTATTTTATATGCTCCACCTTCCTTCACATTCGGCCTTAACAATATGTTCATCGCTCATGAGCCTGACGCGTTCTGATTATCTCCTTTGATAAATATGAAGGCTGTGCATGTGAAGAGGTACATTACATGCCTGGGTTTCGCTACATTATAAGCTTCATACATTAATTCTGTACTAGAAAGTGGGCATTGTGGTCAAACATATCGAAGGACATGTATTTTCAACTTTATTCCCGGAAAGAATGAGTTTACTGTGAAGGATTCAATGTTTTCATATAAGAGGCATGTAATACTGCTCTTACCGAACAACACTTGCGTGTACTTGTGATTTCGCATATACAAGTCAAAGATAAGACCATGCATTTGTAAACGTGTGAAAACCTTCATTTTTGACTCAATACTCAGAATATGGACAACCTTTTAAAATATCATATATTATTGATAGGAACAGCGCTGCATCAATTAATTTCTAAGCATGGAGCGTTACGCTGAAATGAATTATTTTAATAGATTGGAATCCGGATATATCATTTACAACACTGCTCAGTAATGAACTCGAGGCGACACACTTCAAACAGGTGTAAGAATTCCAGCTGAAAACAACACTACAGCATGCTCGTAAGATCTTCCTCTTCTTCCATCAGTTTCAGTCACAGGCCCTGACTACCTATCAGATCCACAGTTTTCTATTTCTACGATAGAAGTTGAAAACAAACCACGATCATAAACGTTTCGAAGCCTGATCGCAAGTCCAGGATAGTACAGGGCATGGTCATGCTTGTACTCAAGCACAGCTTATGGCTAGTGCTGGAAGAGAGAGTTGGAGCTGCCGATCCCGATTCTCTGGTAGATTTTTCGACAAACGCAACCAAATCAGTATTCCGCAACATTTTGTCAATGGAGATGTAACTACTGGATCTGGATGTATTCGAGCAGGTCTTGACATCGAAAAATTCCCAGGCCTCACGTATGTCATTTCAAGCAACACATTCCTTTCTTGCTATTCTATAAATTTAATGCACAGGGATTATGTCCAGCGGAAAGTCTGAAGTTCAGAATTTTTATCAGAATTTTCTTTTCTCTCTTGGGCATTTAGAATTTGCATGTCGGAGGGTCTCACCGTTCTTCACTTCAAAATGGTTCTATGTGGAAAGAACATAACACACACCCACACCTGCGTGCTACGGAGCTCTTTTCGTTGATCAGTGGTGGTCCACTCCAGGCTGGTTTCGTTGACACCAAAGGTTGTCATGATTTTAGCTTCATGCACAACATCAATAGATCTTGCCTGCGACTTAGACACAGACGAAGAAAAGGGATGAAAATTCATCTCCTCACTTCTTTTTCTTTCTTCGAAAACTGGACTGCAGGAAAATCTCGATTCCACATTTTGTACCCAGGAGTTCTCATCGTCTTTCCTCGTGGATTGTTACGTTTTGAATTTTGGTACAGAGACAACTTTCTACCTGTCTGCTCTGCATAGCCAGAATCCCGGAACTTTAGTAAGACTCCTTCTATTCTATCTAATCTTGCTTAGCCAGGTCTCTTCAATTTCTATTGTGATCTGAGGAATGCAGTAAAAATCATGGGATGGGATAGATGTAGTTTCCAAGCATATTATATTGTGGCCCAGAATACAATTTCACGCTCTTAGCAATGGTGTGTGACAACTTGTTCTTACCTTAGGATTCTTCTGGAGCGCTTCTGCAATTACCTCAGCGTGCAACTGCTATAGCTTTCATCACTTCGAGCTGTAAAATCACGGAGACCCTACAACGACCCCCAAATTCTCGAGGCTGCCAAGCCAGGAGTGTGTGAGCCCGGCCAGTTTATTACCACAAAAATGTTGTGTGTATAGAGTACGATACATAGCTGAAGAAACTGGACATATCGTGGACGAGCCCTTTTGTGCTATAGGACTTGATGTTCCAATATTCCTCGCCCTTATTCATACGCGTATATGTGTCCACTAGTCACCATCATTTCAATAAGCCTGACATGTTGCAAAACCGTAATTATACTCAAAGGTAAAAAGTGAAGCAACAAAATTTCTTCATGTCCACTATGTAGTGTGTTTCACCACTGAGGCTTGGGCTACATTGTATTCAAGGGCATCAGCCGGAAGCTGTTTTTTTTCTTTCAAGCTCATAATTACAGTATCCTGTGCTGCAACTTGCTGAGCTCAGCAAATATCTTAACATTTGTAAAACCAAATCCTGAATTCTCAATACAGGATGTAGTTTTATGTATCAGATCGTATGTACTGCGCGGCAAGTAAGTCACTCTTAGGTGTATTAATTGCAACGTCTTCAAGTACGATCGGATAGGCCCATCGGCCCCGTTCATCTGATAAAACAGGATTGTCAAAGAAAATGTGAGTTCACAAATCTTCCACATAACTCCCATAAACTAACGTGGCGTTGTATTAGCGTCACGGATAGTTCGACGTTTAGAATTCTGAAGCCTGAGGTTTGAGATCAAAAGCTTTGTCCGGTTGAAACTAGAATAAGTAAGCTCATCTTCACGTTCGAATATGCTTGGCTGGTTTACACGCTCACATGGAGGAGGTCTTGTGCTGGTCCTGCCATTTAACTTTCTGTTCTCACCGAATATCACAAAATTTGTAAAAGCACATCCCGAATTATGCGTATAACCTGAACATAAACTACGGCAAAAGTATACAATTCGTAGGTACATTCATGGCAACTCCTTCATCGATCGAAAAGGCCCGACGTGGGATTACAGATTAAAGTTCACCAATGCACTCAAAGAACTCTCAGCAACGAACTTTGCGTTTTACCAAATGTCAGTCCTGATAGCTGGAATGTTAGAATTCTGAGTCGTGAGTTTCAGAACCATAAGCTTTGTCTACCTGAAAATAACTCAAGACGGCTGGTCTTCAGGTTCCAATACGCTCGACTGATCTGTATACAATGATCAAAATCTGCATGACAATGAATAATATAGTACTGAATTGAGAGAAAAATTATGGTTGAAGAGGCGTGCCTGCAGCTGTGAGAAATGTGTGAATTTGTGTTCAGGAGCTTCTGTATGTGAGAACTTCTGTAAGACAAATTCACTTAGAATCTGTGAATGTAATAGAATTAGCAGGTAATACTGGCTGAAATTTAGTTTTTACCTACATCCTTGTTGATAAAGTCATATGCGTGCGAGAGCAAGGTTGATCTATGTTTGTTTAAGTTAATTGTACAAACTTGTCTAAATGATTAACTTATTATACAGTCCATGTCATTACGTATTCTTTTAAACTAAAGGTGTGAAAAGTTGACTTTTGTCTTAAGTAGTTTTTACTATGAAATATAAAACTAAATTTCCTGTGGCTATATTAAGGATATTGAAAAAATTATATCTTTTAATTTTTAGAAGAGGAAAATATTTAATTCCATATCTAATTCCTAACATTTATTCACTTTATTTTAAACAAAAAAAAAATTGGAAAAAAATAATCATTTTTCTAAAAAGAATCTGATGTAGTGATTAGTGAAAAGGAAATAAAGAATTTTTATTTGATCATTTCATTGATTTTTGAATAAGGTGAGGTGCAGTAAAATAAAGGAAAAAAATCCATTCAATCAAGTGTGTACATGAGCTGATTGATTGCTAGTTGTGAAGTACTTTGATTGTAACAGTGAAGATTCATAACATCATGAGACAATCTCTTCCCTCGTTTCATATTAAGCTTTTGTTATGGACTAACCTACATACTCGGCATTCTAGCTCACGTTTTCAGATAAAATAATCAAAAGTTCCGTAATACTTGGCAATGTTGAATTTAGCACCACTAGTCTTCATGATTGTCATTTGTTCCTTGTTTTCACTGTTTTACTCTAAAAAATAGAAATTTGGCTCCTGATGCAAATTGCCAACATGAATAAGAGAAAACAAAGTGCAAAACATGTGTTCATTACCAGATTTCCATTTTTCTTGCAGTTCTCATTTCTCTTTTCATTCAAATGCTCCAACTATAAATGTTCAGAGTTCCTCACATCCTATCGGACGAAATGGATAAAAAAAATAGAAATTTTTCTTCAACGGCTTTAATCCACTAAAAACTTTATGAATCGTCTAGCAATTTAAGCGCTCTTGTGGTTTCCTCCTAGTTGATTGAACTGAAAACCTACCTTTTGGGTGAGCTTGAAATTCATATCAAATAGAGTCGGAAAAAGTTTTGGTGCCTTGATGAAAGCATTTGTCAACCTTCCCAACTGCTGAAACTTCTCATCTACAGTATAACATTCGCTTTGACATTTTGTACAATGTTATTAAGCCATCAGAAGCATTCAATATGTATTCTAGACAGTGAAAATTTGAACTCTAATGCAAAAAATATTCCAAGCTGTGTCATAAAACCAAGCTAGCACATGTTACAATGCAACCTAGATTGTTGAATTAAGTTCTACGTTGGCCCCCGCATACAAAATTGGAAAATTCTATCATGCAAGAGTAAGTTGAAAGTCCTGTACTCATTTTCTAGGCAAATTTCATTACGCTGGGTTATTTTGCTTTGAGATTATTTGTAGGTTCTATATGCA